ACATTCGATACTGCTGAACATTCTGTAGACAGTCGTATCAGTCATGTTGTCATTTCATATCGAGATTACCAATAATAAAGCATTTTTTACACTCATAGTATGAAATAAACTTGATGTTACGGCAAGTTACGATTTACTTGTGTTTTCTTTCAAAAAATGACAATATGAAACTCTTTTTGAGACAATTATGAAAGTTAGAATCCCAATTCAAGTGCCTGGATGTTCAACGAGTTTGGTCTCGTAACCTGAAGGTTCCGGGTTCGATCCCTGGTGGGGCCACGGGTGCACATTGCTTAAAAGTCTCAAATTGGAACGAAACAGTTGTCTAGTGCTCCCTGGTTCTCTAACTGGTGTTGATTCTTCGCAAAAGCTAACAACTAAAATTATAAAATCATTAGTTCTGTTTTCAAAGTGTTGAGCTTTCTTTGTGTTGAGGTGGTGATTCGACAGAGATTGTAAGTTCGATTTCGCCAGGAACAGATGAAATCTACTCTGAGATCAATTCTCTGTATAGGTAGATATCAACACATTACTGTACTGGTTCACAATACTGACTAGTACTCATTTTCGAGTTTATTTAGACCTATGCATTTCATAAGAGAAATTTATTTTTATTCCATAAACTTTGTTGCTTCTGTCCTGATTTTGACCACGGATTGATATCCGTTAGAGAACCATTGAAACCAAAGGAGTACTGGAGTGAAGATAGATACTCGGCAATCACAATGGTTGGTTGGTGGTCACCCTAAAATCACAAATTGGTAGAAGCTAGGATTCATCAGTTGGCCACTGAGTCAGGTCCCAGTGAGTGAATAGTCTACGAGCTTTCCATGTAACCAGAAGGTCCTAGGATTGAATCACGGTGGATGCATGTCGATGATGAGTCTCAAATTAGGACGAAACAGCTGACCAGTACTCACTGACTGGTTTTCAATGGTTCTCTAACTGATATCAATCCGTGGCCAAACTTGAGGCAAATCCGAATCTCTACAAGCTAACTCTTGAGAATTCTCTTCTAGTTAAATCATACGATGAATATTTACATGTGACTAATAATATCTAAAAATAATATGTTGTCATTATTCTTATTTCTGTGGAAACCCATGGAAAATAAGAAGTAGTTACGAAAACGTTCGCTAATCTAAACATATATGATGGAAGTTAGAAATTAATTTCAACACTAAACATGGCATAATTTCTAATTTTGTATTTCTGTTTATTGATTAAATTGGAGCGAAGTAATCGGCCTCTGTGTGCGTCGGTGGCACAGCGGTTAGGACGCTCGCCGACCATGCACATAGTTTGGGGTTCGATCCCCGGTCGACGCACTCCTTTACCTCGCCAAGCCAGTAATAAGACTGGTAAAGAGGGAAGGTTGGGCATGAAGCTAGCTAGCAGCCCCATCCCGTAAAAATAAACACTACTGCTACTGGAACTTCAAGCCTCTAGCTTGAAGCCCTATGTTCCACTAGGAACGTGAAGGAATAAAAAATCGGCCTCTGATATCATATCAGCTTTTAGTGAGAACTTTTCTACTGTGTCTAGATATTGACGTCATGTTATTTTTTGGATGGTGATTAGCAGTAGAATCCATGATGCTCATTTTGTTTTATTTTATTTTGTTTACAATATTTCGCATATTCGGTATAGATGTTGCGTCATTTCAATTGCGCGCGTTTAGTAATCAACCGAATCTTTGTTTATTGAATCAACAACAAACACGTACAATCGAAATGACGCAACACCTATACCGGATATATATATATATATATGCATATATATATATGTATATGACAGTGCCACATGCCACGTGATCCTTACCGATGATATACCTGACTGTGGTGGACTGGATTATGCGGAACACTGTACGCGGGTAACGCCAAGACAGGAATACGCTAGACCGATAAGAAGACTCTCGAAGATCTGGATTTTGCAGATAATTTATGTCTGATGTCAGACTAATTCGACGATCTACAGACTAAAACCAACAAACTGACAGAAGAATCAACAAAGACAGGACTTCAAGGGCATGTTGAGAAGACGGAGATGATGAAAATAACCAACCAACAAAAATGACACCTACCGTCAATCACTATGGACAGGAGAAATCAACAGAAGAAATCTGAAAGAGGTCCCTTCCTCCACTTATCTAGGCAGCATCGTTTCGACTCTAGGAGGCACGGATGAAGATGTCAAAGGAGGGTAGAACCGGAAATGCAAGACAAACCTTCATCACTCTGAAATCAGTTTAGAAATCTTCTGAATTCCGCAAAACAACAAAATTCAGATTTTTAACATCAAAGTTAAGGCGGTAACTTCTGTGTGGGTCAGAAACTTGGCAAACGTGTTACGAAAAGCGTTTCCAACAGGTTACAGACTTTTACCAACAACTGCTGTAGCTCTATACTGAAGACCAGATGGCTGGCCAGAAAGGATTAGCAACAAAAAACTCTGGGAACGAACCAACCAAGAACCTAGTGCTCAACAGATATTCCGTATAAAATGGAAATGGATTGGACACACTCTAAGGAAACCGTCAAACGACATTATGCGCCAGGCCCTTGAGTGGAACCCAGATGGGAAATCACGAGTTGTGCTTGTGTCCGAGGGCGAAATGGGGGAGATCGTGTGAGAAGGAGATCAGGGACTATGGGCAGACGTGTGGCCAGTTGAAGATAACCCCAGAGAATATGACGCAATGGAGATATGCTATTGAGACCCTGTGTTCCATTCAGAACTCGAAGGAACAATTATATAGACATATATATTGAAAATTACAATAAATTACAAGGGAGAATGAAAGTGGATAAAGGGAACTATGAATTTTGCGTGAATACACCGGTATGATTATGAGCAGTAATAAATTATGCTTCAAAATGTCATCCATTTGTTAATACTGCATCACTGTGTGTGTGTTATACCAAATAAACTAATCCTATATAGAATTATTATTATATTCTGCTACAGTGCCCAAAATCTACTGTTACATTAGTTTAGAGACCTATCATATGCTGTCAGTTAGTTTTGGTGTGTCTATGCGTTACTAGCACTGTAACCTGAATGCTCGCCAGCCACACAGGTGGTCCGGGATTCGGTCTCGGCCGACACACTTGTTTACCTTGCTATGCCAGTAATAGGACTGGTAAAGAAGGAAGGTTGGGCATGAGGCTAGCAACCCCATTCCGTAAAAAATAAACACTACTGCTACTGAAACTTCAAACCTGTAGCTTGAAGCCTTATGTTCCGGCACTGGGAACGTAAAGGAATCAAAGAAAGAAAAGAAGAAAAGCACTGTAATGTTTGACGTACACTCTTGATTGTTATAGCAATGGCAAATATTTATAGCGTTAACTTAAAGCTATGAGAAAGTAAAATACAGAATTTGGTATGTTCCATTCTTCAAATGATACCTGCTAGTGATTTGAGATATAAACCATCCAACTTAATACTTTTTACTCCCCTTCAGAAAAATGTTTGAAATGTGAATTAAACAAAATCAGGTGACGAACTGACCGCAATTAAAGAACCAGTAAAAACCAGAGGGTATTGGATAGTTGCTTCATCCTTTTTGGGTCTCATCAATGACACCCACTTATGACCCCTATTAATTCTAACTTGTGCAGATTTTCGATATATGACAAATGTTACAGGCGGGTCCTTTGTTTTCCTCACACGCCACTTGCTATGTAACCCGGATGGTCACGACATCTGGTTAGAACTTCAGGCAACTTTATGCTGCAGTCAGTCACTAGTGAGAAGCAGATGGATTTTCGAGAGGTAGTTTTTTAGGGATTTGGTGTATTTCAAGTTTGGTCACGAATTAACTTCAGTTAGAGAACTTCTAGAAGCTAAGCACATCGGATTCCATCCCAGAGGCCGAATGGACAACCTGTAGGTGCTGGGTTCTGTGTGTACTATTGAAAAATCCCAAACAAGGACAAAATATCTGTCCAGTACTCCTTGGTTTTCGATGGTTCTCTGACTGAAGTTAGTTTGTGATGAGACTTGAAGTCAGCGAAAACCAACACTTGAGAACCAAATGAAAATGTTACGCACATTATTTAATAATATAGTAGATAGTGATGAATTTATGGTGAGTTAAAATTAGTTTTAGAAATTATGCTTACTGATTAGCTCAACCTAAACTAATTAATTTAACCCAACTGATTCTGATGTATCACAGCAAAAAGATCAAATGGCTAGAAAAGATCAGCAACAGGGATCTCTGAGAAAAAACCAACCAGGTACCAAATGTGCAACAAATATGCAGGAAAAAATGGAGGTGGATTGGCCATACTCTGAGAAAATCATCAAGTGAGTGACATCACACGCCAGACCATCACTCGAGTAGGACCCGAATGAGAAGCGGTGAGTTGGTCGTCAGTGCGAGGGTGACATGGAGTAGGAGGAGTTGATGTGAAGAGGAGATGAAAGCATGTGGGCAGACGTGGAGCCAGGTGTATAAGGTTGGCAGAGAACCGAACGCAATGGAGACGTGCGGCTGAAGCCTTATGTTCCTCTAGGAACTAAAGGATACAATAATGATACAGTAAAAATGTTGCCAGGTTATTCAAATACATTAGGATGAAAGTGTCGAAATTCTAGTTCACTCGAACTCATTCCTGTATCTTGCATGATTCAGCAACGTCTGACGACAAAAGATATGTTGGTAGATCACCTCCAAAAGAAAACATACGATTATTAGCATTTGAACAGCCTGGTGATGCGTCGTTAACCTTCAGTCATTCTGATTATTCATGTATGTACGCATTGAACAAATCAGATAAATTCTTTTCAGTTTGTCCACTGAAAACTTCATGTTGTTAATTTCAGAAATAAACATCAATACTTCATTGTAAGTGATTTCTAATAGCGTGTTTAGAAACAGAAACTATAATGCTGGAAATCTCTTGTACTTCAAGAAAGCATAATATTAAAACGATTAGAAATTAAGTTGTACTGAAATATATTTTTCTGTTGGTAATAATACTGCCGGCTACTTACCTTGGTGCATACATTAGACCCAATGATGCAAGATATCCATTAGTGAATGAAAATATAATACAACCGAATACATATACATGATCATTTGTAATGAGTACAGGTAGATGAGGTTTTTCAATGGCAAAATTACATGATAAGTAGAAGGGGATAAAGAACAGAGTACGCAGCCATACAGGTATCCATAGAAAACGTGGTCCTGGCTGTAAAAGAAAGCGATTATTTTGTAAATATAATATAAGAATTTCAAGTAAAATTTACAATTTCTAAAATTTTTTTTAGTGCATTTGAATTTGTTCCTTGAACTTTGACTAATATTTTAATGAAATACAAAAAAATAAGTGTTTTTTGCGTAGAAATATATACTACTGATTGATTGACGTGAGTAGTCGTATATCAGTCAAATCCACTAATAGGGCTTGCTGAGCAGATCGAAGTGATTTAAACACCAGATGACCATTTCGCTCGTTTCGGAGTGATCTCATCAGCGGTTTCCACTGTTCGAATCAGCTCAGAGAGCTGAATCACTTCAAACCACCTGATCACTTCAATCTGGCTAGCAAACAACCACAGCTACTAATTCGTGAATGGTATGCGAGTTTGCCTTGTAACCGGAAGGTCCTGGGTTCGAACCCTGTCCGGTGGATGCGTACTGCCGATGATTCCCAAACTGGGATGAAACAGATGTCCAGTACTCCCTGCTGGTTTTCAATGGTTCTCTAACTGATATAAATCCGTGATCAACTCGTAAAAACAAATCTAATCCTTACAAACCACCTACTGACCACTACTAATGTCAACCAACCAATTGTATTTATCAATTCAACTGCGCTTGTGGAGCGAGTTATGTTGGCCGTTGCTCTAGGAACTTGATTTTTCGTGCTCGAGAACATATCCCATTATGGCTAAGTAAAGGTGTAGTTAAAACTATTAACAACTCGATATTACACCATCTGGTGCAAACCGGTCACAAAAGCAGCGTAGAAGAATCCTTCTCTATAATATACTGGGTGCCTAACAAACTACCAAAATCGTCGAAGCACCGCATGCTCCAAACAGTAGAGGCTATTGCAATTCGCCTCAAACAACCAGTGCTCTGTGTCCAAAAGAAACGAGTCCAACCCCAACTACTGCCCTGGCCCTCAGTAGAAACTATAAACTCGTGAATTTGTACTATTAGCCTTCCTAATTCTTCTGACATTCAGTTTATTTTATGTTGATGCCACTGAGCTGTAATTTATCAATATTATTGATTTGATGTTATTTAAACATTAATGTCGTTCATAAGACTAATTCATTCATTCATTATAATGTATATATAATTGTAGAACGGGATAATGAATTTATCGAAAAGAGTACTCTTTGTTCCGTGTCTATTCTTTTGAAAATTTCAATGGGCATTTTTAATCAGGTAAATATAATCCCCTGAACTCATTATTAGTGGCAACAGACGACCTAGCTCTCTTAATGAGAAACATGGTGAAAGTCAAGTTAAAGTACCAGTAAGTACCAACGAACAAATGCCCTTGAACTCTCTAACCTAATGACAAAGGCGATATTTGCGTATAAAATACACATATTCATGAAAAATATCCTATTACAGCACAGAATATCTTTCTCTGACGTTTGACAATAATACCACTCAGTTTTGGATTGCTCTGTCAACAGAGTAATATAATCACATTTTATGCAAATACATATCTAGGTCTTCTAGCCCTAACAATAACCCTAATCTTTCCTTAACCTAAGACTAACGTGAAAACATCTCTAAACTAACCCTAACCCTAAATCGAACCAACCCTAACATCTGCCTTATTAGGTTAACCTAACCTTAACCCGTCCCTAGCCTAAACCTTAATATTACCGAAACTTAACTTGAAACTTACCAGATATCCCGCTTAATATCATAACACTTCATTAAGCATATTTTATTGATGATTACAATATTATTTACCAGATCTCACTAACTTGCTCGGTGGGTGTTTCAAAGTCACTGGTGCGGCCACACTCAACTGGTACTAACTGGTGCTTTAACTTTAACTTGGCTAGAAACATATTATAGAGACAGGGCATAAAATTAGTGTTTATACCTTTTGTAAACCCATCCATTAAACATGTTTGAGGTGTATCCTAAAGTATGTGGAAGCCCTAGAAATTAGGAAGTTTAAACCACCTTTATGTGTTCAAAAACAATTTGTCATTATACTAAACCTCCTTTCGTAAACTTTGTTTTGGTACCAGGACAGATGTACTGCTGTGGTGAGAGATGGTTCCTAGCCAAATTGGTTGGCAGTAATTGAGGTCAAAGGTCAAGATGGACAGGCGGATACAGTTAACATATAGATGAACTGACAGAGTCACAAGAGATGCAAGGTTAACTTTGTGTGAGAAACAACCAATCAACAGACTGTATTTTCTACTAACATTAACCTACAATAATGTACATCAAAATCTATAAATACGTTCTGTTGCCTGGCCCTTGTCTTCTGTTGTTACACTATCATCCCCCTTCTTCTTCGGTTTATTGATCTCCATTGTCATTATTTTTACCTTGAAGACAGCCTTATAACTTGACCTATGTCTATTGTCTCACCCCTTAATGATTAATTTTTCATATATGTATTCCTCTGACAAGTACATTCGTGGTCAAATGGTTAGAAATGTGTTGCACCAAATACACTACACGATTCAGATAAATTACGTCTTCTTATTGTTTTGACAAAAGAAAAATTATAACAAAAATTACTAAGCCAGTGGTGAAGGGAATGGATAATACATTCCTCCTATAGCTTGAAAATGAAATTCTAATGTGGACTATATTGGAGTTCACTTGTAACAAAATCTTTCCTATGGATAACCAACATCCTTTGTAAGCTAATGAAAGACGAGGCAATCTCTTCAACCAAATTTGACAAAGTTACAGGCGTTAGCACGAAACAGGACCAGGACCTTAAAAAAAAACTCTATGCATATGACTTCTAAGCCCAAAGTGAATAGCACAGATGATTACCGAAACAATTATAAGCTTTTTGGATATGAATATATTTTGCATTTCCATGACTCATTTTAGCCTGGCTAGCTCAGTCGGTAGAGCATGCGACTCTTAATCTCAGGGTCGTGGATTCGAGCCCCACGTTGGGCACCAGTGCGTCGGTGGTTCAGTGGTAGGGCGCTGGGCGGCAATGCGCGTGGTCTGGGGTTCCAGTCCCGGCCGGTGCACTCCTTTACATGCTTTAGTTAGACAAGGAGGGAAGGTTGGGCATGAGGCTAGCAACCCCACCCCGTAAAAACATCACTGCTACTGAAACTTCAAAGCTACAGTTTGAAGCTCTATGTTCCACTGGGAACGTAAAGGAATAAAAGAAAATGACTCAAGTTACCTTACTCGCTTAACTTTACCTGGTTCTGAGCTACATATAACTTAGATAGTTCAGAACTTATGGGTTCAGGCTTAATTCCAATTTTAAAAGCAGAAACTAGAAGATGAAATGTACAACAAGAATGCAGAAGATCTATGATTAATATATGTGCGATAATTTATTTCATCTGGGAACGAGTCAAAGGCTTCTGAAACTCAATCGGTCTTCTACAGAAGCAATATATGTATAATATAACCACCTTAGTGGGTTACTTTAGTAGGAAAGCGGTTAGGTTCAGCCTAGAATAAAGATACAACTACACTATCCCACCAAAGAATAACAGAATTCTGTAAAGCCTTTGAATAACTAATCAGAAATACACGGTGAATGACTAAGTTCCCACATGCCATAATTTTAAACAATACCATTTCTAACATACTCCACGTGACTGCCGATAAAGTAACGTGATGTATGCATTGGAATTTCAAAATACCAACCATTATAATTTATTGTTTGGAAAGGTGAATCCCATGTCTTTCATAAGGAAGTAACTTGATTATTATTACTACTATAATTATTATTATCCCTTTTGGTTCCGAGTGAAACTCAGGGCTTCAGCAGTACATCCCCATTTCCCTCTATTCTCTACAATCTATTTTAGGAGATTTTTTCACTTTCATCGGACACTAGTTAATAAGCAAAGTCATGCATCATCTCAGAGAGGACACGCGTTCCTTCAAAGTTGCAGATACTCCTTGTTGGCGAGTGCCAACAAGCACGAAACCTAGGTCGAACAAGGCTTATTGATGATTGCCTCCGATCATCTAACAAAAATGTCTTCTTTTAGCCGGCTCAACCATTGCCCATAAGCTTCATTTCTTTCTCACACGATGTCCTCCACCACATCAACCTCTGACCCATACACAACGCGTTGTTTCCAATTCGGTTCCTACCGGAGGGTCTGGTGGGTGACGTTCCACAACGGTCTCCTCAGTGTATAGTCAATCCATAATTGTTGAACGAAAGGTTCTTGCTTTGCTTGTTGAAGTAACTTGATCGGACCTTGACGCGCTACCATCTCCAATGATTTTCCTGATTGCGCTAGACTGGATAATGCAACAGACAGCAGCGGGCAACAAGGAAGAAACAGGCATAAAATGGACTCACACAAAAAACTTGGAAGATCTGGACTCCGCGGATGACTGGAAGATATGCAAGTGAAAAGTAACAAGTTGGCAGAAGAAGCATTCAGAGAAAATAGGCCTTCCTCCAGGTGAAAATAGAGAAAACAGAGGTGATGAAGACTCCTGGCCAACAGCAACAGCAACAACGACAGACAACAATCAGCACAAATGGGAGAAATTTGAACGAAGCAACTTCCTTTACCTACCTACTTACCTGGGAAGCATCGTTTCAACTACAGGCGGACGGAAATGACGAGGATATCAAAGCGAGGATCGAGAAAGCAAAACAAGCTTTTTATTACTCTCAAGTCTGTGTGGAGGTCAACAGCACTCAGCATGAAAAACAAGATCTGGATTTTCAACTCAAATGTGAAGTCAACGATACTATACGGATTAGACACTTGACGCGTCATGAAGGGCATTTCGAACAAACTTCACACCTTCATCAACAGCTGTCTTTGCTCAATACTCGAGACCAGATGGCCAGAAAAGATCAACAAGAGGGATCTCTGGGAGCGAACGAACCAACCAGGAACCGATTGTGCAGTAAATAAGTAGGAAGAAATGGAGGTGGAATGGCCATACTCTGAGAAAACCATCAAGTGTGTGACATTACACACTAGGCCATCACTCGAGTGGAAGCCGAATGGGAAGCGGTGAGTTGGTCGTCAGTTCGAGGGTGACATGGAGTAGGTCGTGTGAAGAGGAGATGAAAGCATGTGAGCAGACCTCGAGCCAGGTGAAAACGTTGGCAGAGAACCGAACGCAATGGAGACGTGCGGTTGAAGCTCTATGTTCCTCTAAGTACTAAAAGAAACAATAATAATAAATAATAATAACTTGATCAGTTTTTGTAACAGTGATTAGTGTGAAGGTAGTTTTGAGTGTTAGGTTAACATCATTTGGAGAGTTATTGATAAACGAAGGGGATTTTACCAGATAGAATGTTTCGTTCACATAGCCTGATCTAATACTAAGAAGACCACTAAATCACTGATACATAAATTTAAAATAATAAAATTATGTTGTCTAAAAATTTAATGTATACACTAGTCAACTTACAAATTGGATCCAGTTGCATAGAACACAACCGAGCATAGCGAATAGATTGAAGAACAGAAAGCAGGTCACATCAACAAACCAAACAGCTAGTAGAGGTAAGAAAGACGAATAAAAAAAAATGAAAACCACACATGAAAACGAAATTATAACTCATAAAAAATTATTTGGCGACTTCTTTGCTATCTCAATTACATTTTCACGATAATGAAAGAAAAACCAATTGGTCAAAGTGTGAAATTGACTTTGCAGGCATCAAAAAATTGAACTATTTGAAACAGATCGCATAAGTTAAACTTGTTTCAATGAATGCTTTCGGAGAAGAGAACTAAACAGTTCCAAAGGGAGTGTGATTTTACTCTCCAGGTTACAAAAAAAAAACAACTTCGAAGATTATTACCAGAAATAGTACCACAGTTTCTAGTCAGCTAAATCTTTTTAATCGGCTGATTGATCAGCGCAGAACACTCTTCATAAAAGTGTAGCAGTTCAAGTGGCTATACTTCGTAAGAACGCACAAAAGTACGAAAAATACGTATTCAAACTGCAATGGATGACGAAGCAAATGAAGAGAGAATAATTAGAACTGGCATTCTTCAGAAACACTCTAATCAAGAATGAATATTCAACCTTCTTCATTGGTAAACATCTAAAAAGAAAGACGGATGTTCAGAGAAACTTGTAGGCACCGAAGAAACAATTAATTGTAAATCTGAAACTAAGGGAAGATACAATTAGCGAAGTTCTGCAAGGTCATTTGTCAAGGGAAATTCCAAGGACGCTCTTTGTTGCATCTCTACACCTCGCCTTCTCTACACATGATCTTGTTCACCAAAACGCCAAAGACAAGATGTCAGTATTGGCAGCTTCAGCGTGTATTTACCAGTTCACTCTCTTCTGTTGAGCTATGTACATAGGCTGCACCAGCAGGATACCGTCTAGACATGCTCATGAACACCTATCATTGTGGTTACCCGAAGGCGAATGCAAAACAGTCAGTAGCTTAATTCTGCAGCGCTTTAGATGCTGATGCTGTCTTACATCATAATATTTTTTTTTTAAATTTAGACAAAGGAGGTTAAATATGTTCAATATACCTTCCTTGACTACACATCTGCTTTTAACTCTTTACCCAGATGTCTTTGTTAAACAAGCTTTCCTTAACACAAACTAAGTCCTGGGCTGTTAACCGGTTGAATTATTATTTCTCTAACAGAATGCAGTATGCTGTATAGAAAGGCAAATCTTCCTCTGCCTTGTTTACGGAAGCTGATGTCCTTCAAGGTGCTGTTCTTTCTCCTCTTCTTTTTTCTTTCTTCTTACATAACATTCCTCTTTTGGAAGGAAACAACTTCGTTAAATATGCTGATGATCTGACTGTATCTTTGACGTTTACGTCCCCACATGACTGTTCCAAACTTAATAGCCTTTTGTCAAACATTAGCCAGTGGTCCAATTTAAATGGTTTCACGCTAAATCCCTCTAAATTTCAGACAGTTGACTTCGCCTTCAGGCATAAACGTGATCTACGCGATCTTGTTAATTCACAAGATGTTTGTACCATAGAGGGTATTGAAATAGAAAGTTAGTCAAGCATAAAATACCTTGGAGCAGCTCTATCCTCTGACTCTGCTTGGTCATCTCATATCTTGTCGATTTCTAGGAAAATGTTCCTGTCTAACCTTCTACACTAAGAAGTTAAGATAATCAGAAATCACTGAACTCATACTTTTACAATCTGTTAACTATTGTTCTTCATCGCCCCACCCCTTAGTCTTTTCCAGGCTACTCAGAAAGGACTATTTCATATTACGAAGGGTGTTAAAAGTTGTCTGTAGGGCAAATGGTATGCCACTAGGTCAGTTCGTCACTGTTGTAGTCAACAGACACCTCTTAGCACCTTTTCAATTCACAACTCTCCCATTGCAACTCATCAGGTAGGACTGGAAGTCATTATGAAAGATTATATGCTCGCACAACCAAGTACAGAAACTCATCGATACCCTATTTGGCCCACATTCCATGTGATAGAGAGTGTTAAGCGTGAAACCTATAACTTACTATGTTATTAACAAAACAATTGGTTCATTTACCTTTTCCTGTTTGTAATTTATGGTGATACTTTTAGTTATCTTATAAATTCAGTCATTAATAACATTACTTACATTTTATACTTTTTTGTACATTTTCGACTTTTGTTTCTGCTAGTGCCAATAAGTTGCTATTATCAATTTCGGTTACCTATACCCTGTAATGCTTTATGTTGCTCTTGAGTAAGTCAGATGCAATATTGAACTAAATGCTGAGAATTTCATGCTGTATCATAAGTACTGTTTTGGAATAAAGCAAATCATTGTCATTATCGACATTATTACATCGGGTCATTCAGAATCAACAAAGACTACCTGCAGAGCCATATACAAAATTAAGGCCAGAGTGTTCAAAATAATTTCGACTGCATCTTCATGTAACCGAAGTTGTAGCTAACCGTAAGGAAAACTTGAATTCTGTGTTCAGAAACGTTTTATCCAGACTCTTTTTTTCTAAATATTTTCTTGAAACTCATTTTCAATTCTTTGTTCTCTTGTATCCTATCAGCTATTTCGCAAATGACCATTTATCACTTGACTAGTTAATTATCAACTCTCTCGACTACCTAAGGTTATTCACTATATTAGATTGTTGGAGGCAGTCGGCAGGAAGCCTTGCTTGACCTAGGTTTCGTGCTAGTTGGCACTCACCAGTCATCAAGGCGTATCTGCAACCTTGAAGGAACTCATGTCCCAACAACCATCTAATATCATCAAATCAATGTGCACCGTGATGGCGAGCTACCTAAGAATGGTGGCCACATTGCAAACCTGACTGATAGAATTCAGTCTGCACCAAACAAAGGATTAGACATATCACACTAGTTGCTAGTGTCCAATAAAAGTTATTCACTATTTTTTTACAGACATCATAATTTCTAACTTACTTCGATTTATATTTTCTTACTAAATGAGAATGACCTTTGACCTTTGTTACCCACATACATCATACGTATAAACCCCCTCAAATCAATCTACCGTTTGGAAGAGAAGTTTATCAATTATTATTTAGTTGGTTGGAGGATTTCATCATGAGCTGACTTCAGTTAGAGAACGATTGGAAAACCTGCACGGAGTACTGGACAGCTGTTTCGTACTAGTGCTCGGAACTCTTCATCAGTACGCACCCGCCAGGGTTCGATCCCCGGGCCTTCTGGTTACAAGGCGAGCTCGTAGACCATTAAGCCACTTGGACCCAATCCAATGTCCCATGAATTCTAACTTGTGTATACTGCTGAAAATCCCCAAGCACTAGGACGAAACAGCTGTCAAGTACTGCCAGGTTTTTCAATGGTTCTCTAACTGATATCAACTCATGATGAAATCCTCCAACCAATCACACTAAATCCCTACAAAAACCAATACTTGAATATTACTTAATCCCTTCGAATTCCCGGTGGGACATAAGACTTTAAGCCTGAGCTCTGAAGACTCAGTAGCGATGACTTTTGTCTTTTACGGGAGTGAGGTTGCTAACCTGTTACTTCTTTACTAGACTTCTCACCAGCTATGCAGGATTAAGGGATGTGTCGGCTGAGACTCGAACCTGGACCACGTGTATGGTTGACAAGCATTCATTTTACCATTGAACCAATGACGCACAGAATCCGTACTCCGAGAGAGGCACAAACTCACGACTCCTGTATTTTAAGTTACCAAAAGAGATCTCTTTGCTGACTTATGTATTCTTAATTCACAAAATATGGAAATTTTTTATATATTTATTCATTTCCATTACCATTTGTCTCTTCAGCTTAATTGTGAATTCAAATAAACGTGACAAACTCATTTCCATATATTTCCTATGAGCCAATATTACACTTGTGTATGTATAACCAAGTCAGTGCGATTCTTATGAGAATGAACAGTTAAAAAAACCCTGAAATAATTACAGAGTGTATTGAGAAGGCAGTAATAATTATAGGTAAGAACACTTGTCCTAGGAAATTTTTCATACAGATGAATGCAATACAGGGTGATTAATTTAATTAATACATTCGATTTATACGCATAATGGTAGCCATTTGTAAAATTTCAGGAGGGATTATTTCTCCACTTTTAGCTTCAGCCGGGAAGTGTTTGTATTCTGTTGAGATTCCACTCATTTAAAGCTTCAATAAATGATGTCTTTTGATTTCAACTCCACCCCACAGAATACTTTGAAGTACTTCCAAGTAAAGTAAAGAAAAAAATTAGCAACTTCATTTTCTAACATTCAATCATCCTACTTACATTGTCCTAGATGATAATCTCCAACCGCTATTCATGTGAATATTTCACCACTCTATATATATCAGAATCTAATCCAGGTTGATTATCAAATTATTTATCGATCACGAACTGATTTCAGTTAGCGAGGCACACTGAGAACCAAGGAATACTGGACAGAGCTTTTCTTCTTGTCTGGGACTCTTTATCGGTACGCATTCATAGTGGTCCAACCGGGGGTCGCACCCAGGGCCTTCAGATTACAAATGCTGCAAACCAAATAGGTAACTGTTCGTAGCTACACCAACGTAATGTCATTATGAGGAATAAATTATACTCAATACCTCCTCAGTAAATATTTGTGTACCGACTTAACCAATCATATGAATTACAACTACAGGTTAGGTGAAGACGTAATTCAAAATACATGACTGTTACGCAGATACCAAATTCGTCAACTAGATGGATGTCAACAACAATTATGTTGTCTGAATTTCCAGATAAATGCGCATCCCAATAAATTAGGCAGATAATAATGTAGATTTTGCAGAGTACAAAAAGAGAAATGTCTTATCACACATGAGAATTTGCATATACAAGGATATATGCACACAACAATTGAAGGATTCTGGTCAAATTCTGCCAATAACTACTGTAAATCAAAGCGTTCCCTTTGGAAGCAAAACTAAGAAGTCCTGTAACATGTGCTGTTATTGGTTTATTCAAATTCATTAACGGGAATACATGTATGAAGCTTCTTAAGAAGTCTGTGTCAAAAATGTTTTGGCAAAAACAAATATACTACTATCAAACATAAAAGTAACCAAAGTGAAACAAGACAAAACTCTTAAGTAGTAGGAGGAAAGACATAGGGAATAGAAGCTATTAAATGTACTCCTTAGATATTTATTTATGAGATCCATTATAAAAAAACAGCTGACAACTTACGTGAAATAAAATAGTCTGGATTAACTGGTCTCACTCGGGATTGAACTGCAGGGAATATGGATAATGAACAGAAAAATACGCACCAAATATTTATGCAATGTATCCAACATTCTCTCATAGTTAAAGTATATTTCGACCAATAATCCAAACATCTTTCCTTACCACCAGGCTGTAAAACAGGAAAAAGGAATTTTAGATAAGGTTATTTTGAGAATTATAATTGCTAGTCGAATGGATTTGGAGGAAATTTTTTCAGAAGAAACTTTGAGTGAAATTCATGAATGTTTTATCAACATTTGGAGTCACTGTGATCAGGGATTTTAGGAAGCTAAATTTGGGAAGTTCTAACAGTTCATCTTCTTTAACTCTGTGAATTTAAAATATGACACTTTGATGATAAATCTCATGATTTTCATTTTCTATAGGCTAATAGCTTAACGAACAAGAGAATTAGACAACTATATGGTTATGTTTATTTAGTCGTCAGTGAAGTATGCTAGAATTGAATGGTGGATAATAATAATAATAATGATTTACTTTATTTCAAAAACAGTACTTGTGATACAGAATGGAATTTTCAGCATTAATCACAATATTGCATCTAATTTCCTCAAATTATAAATAAAAATTAGTCACACAGAAAATTTTCCACATTTACAGTAGGGTTAATGTCAAAAACATGCAGCATATAAAATGGAAATAATAATAATAATGATAGCAGCTAAGGTAATGATAATAATACAAGTGGAAATTGCCGTGGGCTTGTTTCACACAGTATTGTCGATGCGGTATACAAATCCTAGCATGTTTAAAAATATTGAATATAATGTTGTCTTTACATGATATGGTGAGGGGAAAAACAAAGATTACAGCAGTCATAGAGATAAGTTGGTGTTTGCATTTATGAAAGTAAAAACAAAGAAGCAACAGGACCATAAATATAATAGAAATAATAAAAGTAAAACTTGAAGGTATATAAAGATGGATGGAGGAAATTGTTTATTTACTAAATGAAAAAAGGTCAGTTAATTCTTGCCTGACACTATTTTCATCACATAAAATACGTGCCAAGTATGGTATCATAGAATTTTTATACTTAGACGTGCGAGCATACAGTTTTCTGAAGTTACTTCTTGTTCTACCTGAGGAGATGCAAGGTGAAAGCTGAGGGAGTAAAGTGGATGCTCCAAGTCAGACAAAATCCCTTTAGCAAATTTATTGCACGAAGTCAAGTGCCTATCGACAACGACGTTAACTATGTGGTCCACTGGGACACCACTCACCCTACTGACCGTCTTCAGCATACTACGAATTGTGACATAGTCCTTTTTAAGCAAACCAGGAAAGAATAAGGGTGAACAATAAAAAAGAATGGGTAGGATGCAAGAGTTTATGAACTGTAAGAGGAGGGATTGAGTTATACCCGAGTGCCTTAACTTCTTAATGTAAAATGTCAGGCGTAATATTTTACTGGAGATCGCTGAGACATGGGAAGACCAGGAGAGATCAGAAGAGAGAATAAGTCCAAGATACTTAATTTCTGATTTAATTCCTATATCATTGTCATCAATCTTACAACTATCATGAGAATCGACGGCTTCTTTTAACTGTCGTTTACATCTTAAGCTGAAATTAACAGTTTGACATTTAGAAGGATTCAGTTTAAGACTGTTAGACTCAGGCCATTTACTGACTCCCAACAGAAAGCTATTTATTTTGGTACAATCTAGCTGGGAGTTAACAGCCATTGAAACTGTTAAATCGTCAGCGTACTTCACAAAGTTTATTTCATCAGAGTGAGGCAAGTCATGTAAGAAGAAAGAAAAAAGAAAAGGATAGCGCTTTGAGGGACACCAGCTTTAGTAGGCAATGAAATAGAAGACTTCCCTTTCGTGGTAGTCGACAGGAAGTCGGCGATTTAGGTCGCGTGCCTATCGAAAGTAGTCATGAGAGCGTATCTCCTAAAAGATTCGAACAGGTGTTGCTCGATGCCGTATTCAGGGTCGTGTTACCATAGTAATTCAGATGAGAAGTGGTATGGGTACATTGAGCGACCACTATGTCATTGATATGTCAAACAAAAAGTAACACAAGTATCTTAAGTTAAATTATCGGGATGATATCTGATTATATTAAGACTATCCAAAGCAATCAGTGTTTTTCTGTGATAAGTAGTTTTCAATATTGGTGATACTGCTCAAGTTTATGATTTTCATATCATTGTTAGCGTGATTATGAATTATTAGTCTCTTATGATTTACCATGAGTGTGTTTAAGATGTTGACTCCACTATTGGGTTCATGAGTTCAAATAGATAGATTAGTCGCCAAATTGCAGCATTCACTTTGTCATCCAGATGAATGTTGGCAAAGCACAGAGAAATTTCCTATCAATTTCAGTGACTGGATAAACTCTCAATGACTCCCTCAGATGCATTCCCCCTTTCTGTAATCTTCCAGATATGTTAAAGTCCCATTGTTCTCCACATATTTATTCCCTCATCCGTAAGTTTATTTTCATTGTAGTTCTTTTGAACTTTTTCTCTACACTTTTGCGTTCCATATGAAGTGTGGTAACGTGCACTGCTGCAATTCTGTGCAGAGTTCTATGTTGGAATTCAGTCAGTCGGTCTGTCATTGTTCTTTAAAATACTTCAAATGCATAAGTAAAACAACCGAGTAAATTTAGTTCCTACACCAGTAATGTTTGAATAACAATGAGTGTGAAAATTCTGCACGGCTTTATGCAAATTTACATCCATGAATAATCCCCATCCAGACATTATAGAAAACAAAACACGTAGTTCAGCGAAGAGGCTCTTTTCGGTGAATTCATTTTTAACTTTAGCTGTACAATCACATTTATATATCATTTTTTTATGAAAGAGGGTAGTTGTGGTGAGAGCTGTCTGCAAGATAAAATTGTAAATAACAATTGACGTCAATGTTTACGTCCCAAATCGGGATCATGAGAAAAAACAGTAACAAAGCTTAACCTAGAGGAACTCACCAACCAATCACATCACACTTAAGGTGTGCAAATACGATTCGCAGATATATGGCTTAACTTTGTGAGAAACGGTCACAAAGGGATGACAGAATAACCTTCAGCAAGAAAACAACCAATCAGAAGACACTGCTTCTCTGCTAGTAATAACGAATAATAATGTACATAAAAAATCTATAAATATCTGTTGATTTTCTTGATAATCGATCTGTTGCCTGGTCGTTGTCGTAATCATAGTAGTTAGTGTTAGTCAATTCATATGTGGAGTTGCATAAAAGTTTTGAAGTTACTCGATTAGATGAATAATTTAGTGAACGAGTTGTGATCAGGATGCACACAGAAACGAAGGCGAATATGTAATTATTCTAAAGAAATACAAGAGTTATAATTGTTACAAAAATTAACAAATAAAAACCAAGTCAGGTGAAATCAACAAGGTTGTTACTATGACAGTAGAAGTGGTTGAATAATTTTCTTTTGTATGCATAACTCCACTTTCTCAATCTGAATGACTAGAGCTTCAGCATGGTAAAGGAGACGAAATCGTATTACCTTTGGAAGGTTACTCTTCACTTTTTAACAACCTTGTTGATTTCACCTGACTTGATTTTTGCTAGTCTATTTTTCTAACCCCTTATAATTCTCGTATTTCTTTAGAATAATTCCACATTCGCCTTCGTTTCTGTGTACATCCTGATCACAACTCATTCACCAAACTATACATCTAATCGAGTAACTCTAAAAATCTTATGCAACTCCACTTATGAATTGATTAACATTTACAACTATGGTTGTGACAACTCGTCACTTTTGTTATTACCCTCTTTCATGAAAAACAGCTGTATATGAATGCGATTGTACAGCTTAAGAGAATGAATTCGCTGAAAAGAGCCTCTTCACTGAACTACGCGTTTAGTTTTCATTAATTATCACAGGGTACTTATTATAATCCTTTATGTTCCAAGTGGAGCAAACGGCTTTAAGCTAGAGGTTTGAAGTTTCAGGAGCGGTGATTTTTGTCTTTTGCGGGACTTACCGGACTTATTACCATTTAGGCGGAATTAAGGAGTGTGTCGGTGGGATGTCGGACACCGGACCACGTGCTTGGTTGGCACATGTTCGATCATAGGTGTCTGCGGTCTATCTCCCGTGTGAAGCGATAAAATAGGGTGAGCAATATTGAGGTTAGGCGTCGAGTGCTAGGTAAGGAGGGGAAATCAATCGACGAGGCTGTGAAGTTAAATTGACTGAGATGGTTAGGACATGTATTACATATGCCTAGTCATCGCCTTCCTCGACGGGAAATTTTAGCTGATATAGGGTCAGGCTGGAAAAGAGCTAGCGGCAGTCAAACCAAAACATGGCACCAGTCAATGAAATCTACAACAGTTAGTTTAAGCCAGCCACGTAGGAAGGTGTAGACTTCCTGGTTGGGGTCCTCGGGACGGTAAAAACCAATGGTTGGAAACAATTGGTGACATGGCTCAAAATCGTTCTCAATGGCTGGCGAAGATGCATCCACTCCTTGTGACTTATGATTTCCAATGAAACTGTTTTGTTCTTCGTTATTATTATTCCTTTGTCTCACACATCTGTTTACTGTCTCTAATATGCATTTCTCCTACTTTCTTCTCTTGCTTTGTGTGCTACATGGAGTGTGGCGACTTGAACTGCCGCACATATGTGCAAAGTTCTATGTTGAAAACCGACCGACCGACAAGTTGGCAAGTATTCTACCACTGAACTTCTGACTGCAATTATCCCAGAGTGACCTACATCATATAAATTTTCTCCGTATTGGACTTCATAATCATTTGTTTCATTTCCATGTATTCGTGAGATTAAATTCCAGTAAAAATGACATAGAGTTTAGTTACATTGTTAGATTTCCTGAGCCACATTAATAAATAATTCTAGTAGTGCAAATCATCAACTGCTTCATCTCTACACTACAACAAGGTTACTTTACTTAAAAAAATGGGAACTTTAAAGTGTTTCATTCACCCAGCTAAAATATAGTATCATTCAGGATTTAATGAATTCATGCATTTAAGTGGAACTCATCATAGGAATACTCCACATACATGCATAAATACTGTAGTGCAAGAGATGATGAAAACGGCCATTTATTTTCCTGTTAGCACCGCATGAAGATGTCTAGAA